GCCTAGAGGCTCATCCATTTATTCTACTGGCACCCGAAAAATGTACCTTCTTCTCCATTATGTCAGCTCTGAATCATGGTGCTGATTTTATGTCCTTTGTGTCTGGCCCAGTTTCTGTTCTCGATTACACCAGAAAATCTTCGGAATAATTCCTTTGGAGCCAGGAAGATTACTGTGGATTAATGCCAAAGGCAGCAAACTATGGCTCATGATCTTTGACGGAGAAAATGTATACATAAAGTGCGACTACACTGCCACTCTTCTTTGTCAAGCAGCTCATTCTGGATCTTTGTCTCACTTTGAAAGGGCCCAGAATACCCATCAAGGGAGCTAGGAGCCACCCTTTCACACAATCTTTCCTCTCAAAAGCTTTCCCAATAAGAAGCTTCAAGGACTAAATTGCGTTAATTTGAATGGACAGTAACTAGGGCCTGAGACTTCCAGAAGCTCTTCAGCACCCATAATAACCGCTGAAGACAATGGGAGTTGCAGATGACTAGCAAAAATTGGTTAAAGGGTTTAACAGAATCGCTCTTTAACAGTGTTCTAACCCCAGACTCACAAACATTTCTCCCCCCCTGCTGTTTTTGGCAGTCACCGATTGAAAAAATAAAAAGAACCCTAAAAGCTACGACTTGCATACAACCCGCCAAATCACCCAATAGCTACGGTTTGTTAGTACAGCTCCACTGACTCTTGTGCATGGGGAATTTTGGGGGCAAAGTCCTACAATGGCATCTGCAATGCAGATCTCATCATCTCTCTCCATAAGCTTCACCCTCCGTGGATTTCTGCTGCTTGTTTTGCTCTTGCTCTCCGCAGCAAATTGCCCTTGGCACAGGCAGAAGTTCTAAGCAGCAGCAAAAGGGATTTTCACAACACAGATGGGCAAAAGATCCAAAAGGAATACTGTGCCTAAAATTCCCAGCATCACAACTACATAATTTTTACCTGATTTATGTTTTTCAATTGCAGCATGACTGCAGGGTACAGATGCAGTACAACTCACAGCTCTGTACACATTTTCCTCTAGCATGTTTTCCCTTTTTTTTTTGAATTTCTTTTTTTTTTTTTATAATCAATGAAATAAACTTGATTTCGTGCTCAGAAACTTGAAAACTTTAAAAAAACCTATTCTCCCAGAGCACTCACCCTGTCAAAGAAACTGCTAGAGGGGTCCCATGTGGCTTGGAAAGAAAGGCAATGGGGGGGGAAAAGCAACGTGTACCAGAAGTCTGTGTTCACTGGAATTTAGATCCCTCTGGAGTTTATGGCTATTCTTTTTGAATGAAATCATGTGCTGCTGAAAGGCTTAATATCATTAATGAATGACGTTTCCTACCTGGACAAACTTACTAACTTTTCTTCTGGGAAACAGGAGGAGAAAAATCAGCACAGAGGCCTTGAGAAGGGGAAAGCCACAGAGAGAGATAGACTCAGAAAGCCATCCGCAGCCACCCTACAGAGCTCCTCTCCCCAGAGGCCAACGCATTGCTGCTCTTGCTTGGCCAGAGCACACGGAGGCAAGAACAGATGGGGGCAAAGTCCTCAACGAGGCATCCGAGACCTCCCTCTGAGCTCGCTTTTGGTGTTGGAAGCTGGCTTTCTTCCCTGCTTTGTCTTCCTTCCTCCCAGCCCCTACAATTTGCCCAGGGTAGGTGTTCAATGGATGAATTATCAGGCCAAGTCTCCACTGGCATCTAGACCTACTTCTACTTCAGCCTACTGCAAGACCTGCTCTGAGGTGAGTGAAATCATTTTGGACGCAGCAAACTGGTCTCTCTCCCATCCTCTGACAGACAAAGGTGCAAGGAGACCACCAGAGCTTGCCAGATGACAAAGCTTTCTCTTCGGATGGACTTTATCTGATGTAATTTTAGCTATTTGAAAGGCAGGCATCTACGCTACGCAAATCAGCCTGAGACTGCAGGTGAGACAGGCAGAGGGAGGGCTCCTCACCTACTCTGGCATCCACAGGGCGATCTCTCAAAGGAAAGGAGCTTTGCTCTCTGAAAGTGTCCGTCACGCTGTTTTGTGAGAGGGAGCCTAGACACCAGCTCAGCCTGGGGATGCTGCTTCTAGGTGGCATCTTCAACAACAACACCCCTACTCCCATCTGATCGAAGCCCCATGCAACACATTAGGACCTGAAGGTTTAGCACTGGAAGCACGTCTTCACCAGCACTCAGGCTTCCAAGGCTGCTCAGAGGCGTCCGAGTGTAGAGGGGTAAGTGGAGGGACACGCTTTGGCCAAAACTGGGGACAGCTTTCCCCAAAAACGGGATGCCCCGAGGCAGCACACGCACCCGGCCGGGTCAGCATGGCTTCTCGGCCTCGTCTGCTGCCGTTTTCTTCTCCCAGGGCTGCTTTCAGCTAGGAGATGCTTCTCTGCAACAGCCCTATGCAGGGAATTAAAAGTTTGAGTTTTAAATAAAGAAATCAGAGGTGCCAAGGCTATCCTCAGCTTGAAAAATTAATTCTCTCCATAGCTATACCCCTTAAAGAGAGGATCAACGACCTGAGGAATGTCAGGTCACCAGTGTCCAGTACAAAAGGCTGTGCACTGTTTTAAAGAAGCGTTGGTTTTTCCAGCTACTTTTTTTCTATAATGAAGAAAAAGCACTAAAAAGACCTCCCACCGTATTCTCCAAGGGTATCACTCCGCTGAAGCCAAGATAGACATACCTATACCTGCCAGCTGGGGAGTGGGTCCATCGCTGGGAAACAACTGCGCTACACATGCACTCACACACATACATTTATATTTTAATATATATTTTATATCTATTTAATTACCTTTTAATATATATTTAAATATGAAACCTATGTAAACCCACAAAGGTAGGTCATACTTCTCTAACTTACTCAATCCTGAATGGTTCTTTATCTTATGCATGCAATTTATTTTGTATATATGTAATTTATTTTATATATGTTTTCATATATTCACATATATATTTATGTATATATTCAAATACATACAAAAAACCACAAAGGTGGGCCCATATTCACCTAATATTTTCAGCTCTCAATGGGTATTTATTTTACTGTAATAATCTTATCCTGCTCTCCCTTAAAAAAAAAAACAGACATCTTTGTAAAGGTACACAGTCATTTTCATGCTATCAGCACAGAGGACAAGTTATTAAGGAAGCAAGCATCAGAAATTGTCCTGTAAAGTCAGTGTCATGGATTTTTAACCCCTTCATCCCTACCAGGTCTGAGCGGGTATATTCATATATTCCAAATGTTCACTGTATCATCGGCTATGACCGCAGGCCCGCATAAAAACGCCAAGCAATTTTTAGCAGAAGCTCAGCATGGCTGGATGCCATGCTCTTCATATGGCATGAAGCCCTTCTAATAGCCCGCACTGTTTTACCTCCTCCCTCCCGCTCCCAAAAACCCCACGATGAATATAAACCTTCAAATCTTTCCACTGACTAGAATGAAAGGGTAGTTTAGCAGCAAAAATGTGCAGGGACATGGTTACTCAAGTTCCAGTAGAGGTTGGGAGGCTGGCACGGGAGGGAGGGGGAGAAAAGCTATTTCAAGTGGTAGTGCACCCAAAAATAAATAAATATTGACAGATTATGCCAGGATCTGTGCTGTCATTGGAAAGGGCAGGCAGACAGCGAACACAGGGCACATTCAGAAGACCACAGAGATGATTTAGATTGGGAAAAGTGTTCTATATTTTTTTTAATATTTATTTATATATACATATATTTATCGACTTTTCTGGGTCTGAGCCTGAAAATGTTTGTACACAGGAGTACATTTGCCCATTTGAGTAGGGTTATGAGCTCAAGCGTTTGCAGGATTACAAACATTATTTGTTGCCTGCCGGTGTGATTTGCATGGCTATGGAGAGCCACGCTCAGGTCACCAACTACGGCAACCAGAAAAGACTTCCACATCTGCACCAGTATCTGCACTCCAGCCTGCAGCGACCACCTCCAGCCAGCTCCCTCCCAGCAGAAGGTCACAACACAGGTCCCTACAGCCCTCCTGGTCCCAGAGAATAAGGGATCTGAGTCGCTCCCACCCTCCTGGATGGAAAATGCTGTACTGAGCATCTACGTCTGTCTTGGGTATAATCGTGGGTATGGCAGGGTTCCTGCAAAACATTTGCACCAGGAAGAACCTTGGCACATGGACGAAGTTCCAAGTGAAGTGAAAGGCATGAAGTTAATTACTGGCAGAACCTGACATTTAGAAAAGGACTTTGAATAGGATTTTTAAGCAGGATTTAGGCTTGAATTTCAGCTTAAGTTCTTGCATCCAAAACTGAGACTCAAAAAGACCTCTTCAGCCACCTGGCCCTGGAGATCCCACAATTTTCTAACACCTTCCTTCTTCAGCCTGTAACCACCATACCCACACTCCTGCTCTGCACATCCAGAACCAACCAGACAAACACTCCCCTCCTGCCGAAGACCCTCCAGAAGCCAGAAACCAGCACAACAAGGACTCCAGAGGCATCCGGAGTATCCTTAACAAATCCGCTCTCAGACAGGGCTAAGAGCTTTGTCTTTAAAGCACTGTCACCCTGGAGAAGAAAATACCCAACAGCTCTTCTGCAGTAGCCTGATGACCAGAGCGTCTCAGAGCTAGTCCGAGTCTCTTGTTGCTTTAGACAGGTTTAAGCCCACATGTAACTGCAGAGACATCTGTTTAGCACAAAGCTAGAGGCTGTTGTGGATGGGGATGTGTCAGAAAGAAATACAAGGTCTCTACGGCCAAGAGGGCAACCCACAAGCGAGATCCTTCCTCTGTAACCCAGCAGTTAAGGTATTCACCTCCGAGTGGGAAGGCCTGGATTTTGGCCCCACATCCTGACAATATTTCAACAGCTTGACATCAAACACACATGCAGATGCCAGAGAAGGGACTGCCGCTAAGTCCTGGCTTAGCTCAAGCCACAAGAGACATGCAAAGCAAAGCCCGGGCAGCTCCAGCAGCCCTTAGCAGATTCCCACAACGGAGGCACGTGTTACCTCTGCATCCTGGACATCCTGTGGAGCTCCATGTCGTCGCTGCCGCGGAAACCTTTCGCAAAGGGGTTGTTCTCAATCTTTAACTGGGTGATCTGAAAGGGAGGAAATGCAACGGGTTCATCGCAAGTCCAATGCATGGCCTGGGAGAGAGGGGATATTTTTTATTAAACCCAAGCCAGTAGGGATGCAGGGGAAAACACAGCTTTCAGGAACTCATGTCGCCCTTCAGCTCAGGCACTGACCGCTCCAGATGGGCTTTCCTCTAGATCTCTCCACTGGAAAAATATCTGCTGTCAACAACCTCTTGCTTCTCTCAGGCTTGTCCCATAACTAACACATGGGACTGCACACACAAAGATTTCTCAGTGGAGGAAATCTGCTTTCTTGCTTACTTTATTTTTGCTGCTGAGACAGAAAGGGCTGCACTTACCAAAGTCAAGGATGACCAAGCATGACCGAAGATGAAAGTCATACTGCCTGAACAAGCCCCACTGACACCAAGAAGTACTTCCTCATCAATGCACAGCCATGACCAAAACCTCCCCTCTCAGACCCCAGATCCTCTCTCTCAGACAGGTGAGGCTTACCCTTTCTGTATTTCAGGCCAGCTAAATGTACTCCAGGTGCTCTGCATCTGCTATCCTTCCCCAACCAGCCCCACACCTGTAAGCACTGCATGGACTAACTGCCTAAGGCACCTGGAGGGCCACTCCACCTCTGGCCATCGTGCCCTGGAAGAATATTTATCTCCCCGTCAATTCTAGCAGGAATTAAGAGGGACTAGTTTGGTCACCTACTTGGCTTCCTTCAGCATCTAAAGTTTGCTGGCAAGAACCCCCTCAGACTCCTGTCTTTTGTCATCTTACAACATCTAAGTTAAACATTTCAAGCAGCTACTGTACAGAACTTACCCAAAGCAACTTTGTTGCTCAGAGGTGCAATCCTCTCCTTCACATACCTCTCCTGAGGACTTGGGTGAGTAGGTTTTCTCAAGCCAGGGGCTGTCCTTTAAGAAAATATTAACTGTGGACCAGCAACACCCTCAAATGCCCCCCTGATCTTGTACAAACTCACTCTGCCGCGCCAAATTCGTTGCAAATGCTTTGCTGTTTTGCAGAGCAGGACTAAGTCTGGATCAGGTGTGATCTGCCCTAGTTGAGTGCCAACCTCACACCAGCTCCAGAGCTGGCACGGCAAAGCAAAGGCAGCAAGAGCTCTGGCTCATTCAGCAGAAACACCACCGCAAACCCACTCACGTATGAAACAAATCTGTCCACACAGAGCTCCGCAGAGTCCAGCACACAGCTGGAGTTTGCAGTCAAGGAACCCCAGCCTTGGAGGAGGAGAGGATCAGTCTCTGAGCAAAGTCCCATACCAGCCTTCACCTGATTTTTAACATTCAAGCAGAAGAGGCACCATTTCCCCTTCTTTTCTTTCTCCATCACTGCCTGGCAGTCTGAGTCCTCAGCAGGAGTCAGGAGAGCCACTTGCACTTTCGCAGGAGAGGCAACCCTGTGTTTGCCATTGGAGGAACTTCACGCACTCACTGCATTTTACAGAAGCACTGTCCTTCCTTCCTACTGAAAGTAGGCCAACGGGAAGGAAAGAGCTCAAGAGTAATGGCAATAGAACAGAAACAGTTTCGTGTTCACCAAGTCAAGCACACACAACTGGACCTTCTTCTTTGCCAAAATTCAAAGAGAAATATCTGGCTCAGCTAGTGTCAATAGCAAACCCCGCCAGGTGTCTGCACCACCAGATTATTTTGCTATTTTCTCATCTTATAGCATACTTTTTTCCCAAAGGCCATTTATTTATTTGCCTTTTTTGCCCAGTTCAACTCCAAATCTCACACAAAGACTCCATCACCCCTACACTTGTCCCCACGAGCATTCCGATCAAAGCAGGACCCAATCTAGTACATGAACAGGGCATTGCTTCTTTTTGTCACACATTTCAGAATTTAAAGAGAGGGACGAACAAACAAACTATTTGGTCCAGTTTGTCATTTGAGCTGTTCCCTAGCAGCAAAACAAGGGCCTGTTTTATAATTACAAACCCTGAATAATTAGACAACCAGCTGCGTATTTTGAAAAGAAACTGCCTATTGGTTTCCACCGGAGAGGTGGTGGCGTTTTGACGATGAATAATAGGCATTATTCAACTTTTTGAATGTTTCTATGCAGTTTGCGTTCTGAAGCACACTAAATGTACGAGTTGTCCTCACTCGCCGAACCCAATGGCAATATTTGCTTGCATAAGTGAAGTCGTTCACTGAGTGAGGATTTACAGTATTGGCACCAGCACACAAATGTACAAAGGGTCGGATTCATCCCAACCTAACCGAAGGCATTTTAACCAAGGCGTCTGTGCTGGGAACCTCGTCTCCCAGCATACCTGCTGGAATCAATGGAGGGAGATGGGGACTGCCAGAGGGCGCTGGGCCTCTGAGGTGGGTGGCATTGCCTTCACAGGTCCGCAGCGCTCTCCATTCACCAGAGAAGGAGCCATCCACACGCTAGCCCCTAATTTAAGGACCTCAGATGAATGCCCTGTTTGATGAATCAAGCCTTTAATCACCCACGAAACGTCTGACAAAATATCATATGGGACCTCGATCTTGCAAATACATTGCTTTATGAGTAGAGAAGTTGCCTGGCCTTCATCGGGAAGACTCTTGCAAGCAACAGTATTAACATATGTGTTGGTGGCAGAAAGCCTGGAGTGAAGCACAGCTGACTTCAGCCTCCTTAAAATTAAGGATCTGCTAGATTGAAGGCATCTACAAACCGGGGACTGCAGAAGATTTTAAATTAGGTCTCAGCTCTTTGGTGATGGATTGCAGCAGGAGTTTTCAGAGCAAAGTTTCTCTAGATGGTAACTCATGGCATCAGCCTTAGCACCAAGCCAGGAGAGTCCAAGCCAGGTTTAAGAAAACCATGCACAACGAAACAGAAAATAGAGAGAAAGTTGGTGAATCCCTGCTTTAGAAAACAGCCTGTGGAAGATATTTTGTTTGACCAGTTTTTGGCTGACTTACAAACTATTTCAGAGGTGGAAAAGCAAACGAATGGGTGGAAATAACCTTCTTCTGGATCAACTTTACCATAACGAAGCTCTGTTTAATTGAGAGTAACTCATTGGGAGGGGGTAAGAAAAAGCTGTCAGAAAGTCAAATGACAATTACATCATGAAAAATAAAAAAAATACAGCATCCTGCAAGGTCATTAAGACAGAATGCCCAGGGCTAAATTATGTAGCACAGATTCAGTAAAACTGTAGGGCCCTGTGTACATATTTGTTGCTGAAAGAATCTGATGGCAAAGTTTGCTCCTGACCACTGATTTCTAAAGCTGCTGCAGACCCTTCTGAGATGAGAGCTTTCCAGGGTGAAGCCTTCCAGATTTACACTTTTCAGGGCTTGTCTGACCCATGGGTTCATTTTCACTTTAACAGGAAGCGACAGCTCCCAATGAAAGCTCGGCGCCGCTCCTCTCCATTCCTTTCTCTGGGCTAACTGACCACAAAGCACTTCTGCCGAGACATTTCCAATGGCATCTTTAGCTCCAGCGTGATAAAATTTAGCTTTGCATCTAGTTAGGCTGAGGGAATTGGCTTTGCTTTTTTCCTTTTTTGCCCATTTATTTATATGGGTACGTATGTCTACAGGCTCATGAATATTGTTACGGCCAGGGTCAAAACTACCACTTTGTATTACTTATTGTCGAGCACTTGCCACAATCAGGTTTTTCTCAATTACAAAACTTTGTTAGGGCTGAAATGTTCCACACCATGTAGCTGCACTGGGCTCCTTTTTGTGTGCTTATTTTACTATCAACCGAATGGGTCCCACTTTTTTTTTGAGCACTTCAGCTGTAGGAAAACATACCACCACCTTGACCCTCTTGGCTCTTCTGGAGGTTTTTCTGAAACTGTCCTGAAGGCTGGGCATTTTGGAACAGGGCCTTTGTGTTCTGCCGGAGGGGAACCTTACTTTCTGAGCTCTCTTCTTGAGAAAATCTGCCCTGTCTGGGTAACTTAAAAGCCTGAGTGGGGAAAAAAAAAAAATCACTGTGTAGGTCTCCCCATTTAGCGATGCAGGGGTCAGGGCAATTCCCCCCAGCTGAGCACGCATGGACCTGCCTGTGCTGCAGGGACGCACACTGTCCCTGCCCTGCACGTGACCATGGTCCTGCTCACCATGGCAGAGATGAGCCATAACCACCCCTACCACTGCTGCAGCCAGCTGTACTGGGAGCAACTGGGAGGCTGGGCTTCAGGCTTGAAAGTACAGAGCCTTTTTCTTTTGCACTCTCACGTACCCAAGGTGGAAACCAGGCCAGCATGGAGGAGGAAGCCAAAGCCAGAGCAAGGGGAAGGAAAGAAACAGATTAAGACAAGGTGCCTGCTGAGACTACTTACATCTGGCTGGGCCAGTGGAGCTGGATGGGGAGCTGGGACTTGGAGCCTGAGGTGAAGACCGGGGGAAAGGAGGGCTGCTGGCAAATGGGAGAAGATGCCGAACCCAAAGGCCAGTGAAGGAAATGGGAGGGACTGGGAGCCAGTGGCTGGTCAGAGGTACTGGTGGGAGACAGAGGGGCTCAGTGAGGAGGCTGTTGGCTGAACTGGAAGACAAGAACAGAGGATCAGAAGAGACAGGCCTTGCACAGCACTGGGCTGAGTGGGAAGGAGTTGGATCAGGAGGCAGAAGTGAGGCTGGAGAGAGATAGAATGTCTTTGCAGAGCTTGGGGAGGGGGTCTGGATCAAGGACCAAAAGGGGCCGGGGGCTCAGGGCTGGCTGAGCACCCTGTCCCGGGGCTGGCAGGGAGGCAGGGACAAGACTGAGGACAAAGGGCAGAGGGAGACAGGACTGGTTCAGACACAGGTTGTGAAGCACACAAGACCTCTTGAAGGAAGCACTCACCCACCAAAGACTGGAATGAGACTAAGCATTTATGTGGCTAGATGCAAGGAGCCCTGGAGAGGGTCAGTGAGAGAAGAGCTCACTGCAGCCCCCGAACAACCAAGGGCTGCACAAAAGCCACCAGTCCTGGAGAAGAAGAGAAGATACATGGCCTCCCCACGCTTAAT